TACATAGAAACAGATGACAATAAAAACATGACAACCCAAAACCTATGGGATGAAGCAAAAGCAGTTCTATGAGGGAAGTTTATAGCAATTCAATCTCACCTTAAGAAACCAGAAAAATCTCAAATAAACAATCTAACCCTACACATAAAACAACCAGAGAAAGAATAACAAAGAAAACCCAAAGTCAGTAGAAGGAAAGAAATCATAAAGATCAGAGCAGAAATAAATGAAAATGAAGAAAACAATAGCAAAGGTCAGTAAAACTAAAAGCTGTTTTTTGAGAAGATAAACAAAATTGATAAACCCTTAGTCAGACTCATCAAGAAAAGAAGGGAGAGGACACAAACCAATAAAATTAGAAATGGAAAAGGGGAAATCACAACTGACACTGCAGAAATACAAAGGATTATAAGAGACTACTACAAACAACTATATGCCTATAAAATGGACAACCACAAAGAAATGGACAAGTACAACTGGAAAAGTACAATTTTCCAAGACTGAACCAGGAAGAATTAGAAAATATAAACAGACCTATCACAAATAATGAAATTGAAACTGTAATTAAAAATCTTCCAACAAACAAGAGTCCAGGACCAGATGGCTTCAAAGGCGAATTCTATCAAACATTTAGAGAAGAGCTAACACCAATCCTTCTCAAACTCTTCCAAAACATTGCAGAGGGAAAAACACTCCCAAATTCATTCTACGAAGTCACCATCACCCTGATATCAAAACCAGAAAAAGATAACACCAAAAAAGAAAATTATAGACCAATATCACTGATGAAAATAGATGCAAAAATCCTCAACAAAATACTAGCAAACAGAATCCAACAGCACATTACAAGGATCGTACACCATGATAAGTGGGATTTATCCCAGGGATACAAGGATTCTTCAGTATACGCAAATCAATCAATGTGATACACCACATTAACAAATTTAAGAATAAAGACCATATGATCATCTCAATAGATGCAGAAAAAGCTTTTGACAAAATTCAACACCCATCTATGATAAAAACTCTCCAGGTAATGGGCAGAGAGGGAACCTACCTCATCATAATAAAGGCCATATATGACAAACCCACAGCAAGTAGCATACTCAATGGTGAAAAACTGAAAGCATTTCCACTAAGACCAGGAACAAGACAAGGATGTCCACTCTCGCCACTCTTATTCAACATAGTTTTGGAAGTCTTAGCCACAACAATCAGAGAAGGTAAAGAAATAAAGGGAATCCAAATAGGAAAAGAAGAAGTAAAACTGTCACTGTTTGCAGATGACATGATACTATATGTAGAAAATCCTAAAGATGCCACCAGAAAACTTCTAGAGCTCATCAATGAATTTGATAAGGTTGCAGGATACAAAATTAATGCACAGAAATCTCTGGCATTCCTATACACCAACAACAAAAAATCAGAAAGAAAAATTAAGGAAACACTGTCCTTTACCACAGCAACAAAAAGAAAAAAATACCTATGAATAAACCTGCCTAAGGAGGCAAAAGACTTGTACTCAGAAAACTGTAAAACACTGATGAAGGGAATGAAAGATGACATAAACAGATGGAAAAATATACCATGTTCTTGGGTTGGAAGAAGCAATACTCTGAAAATGACTATACTACCCAAAACAATCTACAGATTCAGTGCAGTGCATATCAAACTACCAATGGCATTCTTCACAGAATTAGAACAAAAAGTTTTACAATTCATATGGAAACACAAAAGACCCCGAAGAGCCAAAGCAATCTTGAGAAAGAAAAACAGAGTTGGAGGAATCAGGCTCCCTGACTTTAAACAATACCACAAAGCTACAGTAGTCAAGACAGTATGGTACTGGAACAAAAACAGAAATATAGATCAATGGTACAGGATAGAATGCCCAGAGATAAACCCATGCCCATATGGGCACCTAATTTACGACAAAGGAGGCAAGAACATACAATGGGGAAAAGACAGCCTCTTCAATAAGCGGTCCTGGGAAAACTGGACAGCTACATGTAAAATACTGAAATTAGAACACTACCTAACACCATACACAAAAATAAACTCCAGATGGATTAAAGACTTAAACGTAAGACCAGACACTGTATAAAACTCTTAGAGGAAAACATAGGAAAAACACTCTTTGACATAAACCACAGCAAGATCATTTTGACCCACCTCCTATAGTAACAGAAATAAAAACAAAACTAAACAAATGGGACTTAATTAAACTTAAAAGCTTTTGCACAGCAAAGGAAACCTTAAACCAGTCAAAAAGACAGCCCTTAGGGCTTCCCTGGTGGTGCAGTGGTTGAGAGTCCGCCTGCTGATGCAGGGGACACGGGTTCGTGCCCCGATCCGGGAAGATCCCACATTCCGTGGAGCGGCTAGGCCCATGAGCCATGGCCGCTGAGCCTGCACGTCCGGAGCCTGTGCTCTGCAACAGGAGAGGCCCCAACAGTGAGAGGCCCGCCTACCGCAAAAAAAAAAAAAAAAAGACAGCCCTCAAAATGGGAGAAAATATTTTCAAATGAAACAGCAGACAAAGGATTAATCGCCACAATATACAAACAGCTCATGGAGCTCAATCTCAAAGACAAACACTCCAGTTAAAAAAATGGGAGGAAGACCTAAACAGACATTTCACCAAGGAAGACATACAAATGGCCGAGAGGTACATGAAAAGATGCTCAACATCACTAATTATTAGAGAAATGCAAATCAAAACTGCAATGAGGTGTCATCTCATGCTGGTCAGAATGACCATTATCAAAAAATCTAGAAATAACAAATGCTGGAAAGGGTATGGTGAAAAGGGAGCCCTCCTGCACTGTTGGTGAGAATGTAAATTGATACAACCACTATGGAAAACAGTATGAAGTTTCCTTAAAAAACTAAGAATAGAACTACCATATGACCCAGCAATCCCACTACTGGGCATATACCCTGAGGAAACCGTAATTCAAAAAGAGTCATGTACCACAGTGTTCATTGCAGCACTATTTACAGTAGCCAGGACATGGAACCAACATAAATGTCCCTCGACAGATGAATGGATAAAGAAGGTGTGGCACATATAGGCAATGGAATATTACTCAGCCATAAAAAGAAACGAAGTTGATTATTTGTAGTGAGGTAGGTGGACCTAGAGTCTGTCATACAGAGTTAAGTAAGACAGAGAAAAAGAAATACCGTATGCTAACGCATATATATGTAATCTAAAAAAAAAAAAAAAGGTACTGATGAACCTAGTTGCAGGGCAGGAATAAAGAGGTAGACATAGAGAATGGACTTGAGGACATGGGATGGGAGGGGGAAGCTGGGCGAAGTGAGAGTAGCATCTCCATATATACACTACCAACTGTAAAATAGTTGGCTGGTGGGAAGCAGCAGCGTGGCACAGGGAGATTGGCTCCGTGCTTTGCAATGACCTAGATGGGTGGGATAAGGAGGATGGGAGGCAGGCTCAAGAGGGAGGGGATATGGGGACATGTGTATGCATATGGCTGATTAGCTTTGTTGTACAACAGAAACTAACACAGTATTGTGAAGCAGTTATACTCCAATAAAGATCTATTAAAAAATAAATAAAATAAAATATTGGCTATATCCCCTGTGTCATACAATATATTCTTGTAGCTTATTTATTTTATATGTAGTAATCTATGTCTCTTAACCCTGTACCCCTTTCTTGCCAAAAGGGAATTTCTTGAAACTGAAATTTATTAACTCTAAAGAGAAGTTGCTGACTAATTCCTGTTCACTAATTCAGTGTTGTAGAGACAGCAGGTGGGAACTAGAACTCAGTAGTGTGGTTCACTATTTACTGACTCCCCACTGTTATGTGTCACGTAGCACTGTGCTAAGAACAGGAGGTGCAAATGTGTGTAAGAGATAGTCTCTGTCTTCCAAGAGCTTCAGGCTAATGAGGAGATGGACAGTAAAAAGATAATTTCAATATGGTGTGATTATATTCTTTGATACAGGTTGAAAAAAGGTAATACATGTTCATAGAGAAGGAAATCTGAGATTAGGGACCAGATCTACTGACATAGAGTAAAAAATATCCAAAGCAGTGAATTTTTACCACTTGAGTCATTAAAAATTGGTAACATAAGTTGCAGTGCTTTTTAAAAGTATAGATTAAAATTAGTTTAGTTAAAAATTGAAATATAATGGCAGTTATTTAAAATTGATACAGAAATGGAATGTGTGTTAGGCTGAATAACTGTCTTATGAGGGACGCAAATAAATCACTAACTTAAATAATCATAGATAACTATGAAGGATTAAAACTAATTCCATTTTTTAAAGGAGAAGGGAGTTTGGTTTTAGCAATTAGAATAGTAACAAAACACTGAGGCAAATATTAATAGAAATATTTAATTACTTAGGGAATAAAAATAATGTGAATACTATGGGGTTGTTTTTTATATATTTATAAAACAACAGACAAACATGATTACTTTCCTTAGACATTACTAGATAAGTAGAGGAAGTCTGGAGAGTAAATCTAATTTATTCTTATTTTAGCAGAGTACTTGGTAGTCTAATTTTACTTAAAAATTAATTTAAGTTGTTTTGGATATTTGCAGTATTTACTTGATTAAGAGCTGAGTGAAGTACAGTACCATAGAAAGCACAGATACAGAATTATATTGGTAATTTTAGACAATGAATTTAGAAAATAAAATTGCTAAGTGCTACATATGCTGTGTGTGTATGTATGTTTCAGGAGAGATTTAAATTTTATTATTCTTTCCTCAGAATAATTATTCCTTACTTTTACTGATTAGTTTGTTACCTAAAAAGGGAAAATTTTGGACTAAAGCATTACTATCTAAAAGTTCAATAATATTCTTTTCTTCTTTAGATATTTGAATGAAGCAAAGATTTATTTTACATTGTAATTTTCATTTAAGTTGATGTTTAGGTGAAGGTGATTTTTTTAAAATAATGTGTAGCAAAGTCTGAGATGCATGGTAATTCTGTGTTTTATTTTTCAGAAAGAATTCTTTGTGGAACTTGGCTTAACTGCAGGGCAACTTGGTATAGATGACTCTACACAAGTGCCTCCTGGTTAGTATTTCTCCCATATGGCATATACTAAATGAAAATGAGAGTGAGGTTAAGGTTTATCTTGCCATTTCCAAATTAATCTAGTAACTTTTTTAATATCTGACAACTAACATGCTTTTTGCCTCTCCTTGGTTGCTATTAATTATTGAATAGAATCTTATATGTTACAGAGTTACAATCTTATATGTTATTAGAGTTCAACTAGATATTTGTCTTTTTATTTGAGGGTCTTTAAAATAATTTTGAAAACTCATTAGACATATGTAAGTCATTTTGTTGGCAAAATTCTAAGAGAATGGCTCAATAAATTTTCATGAATTGGACACACCTAACTAAATTACCACCCAGATCAATAAACTGAAGCCCCTTCCTACCATCTTTCAATCTTTATCCCCTGTGTCAAGGATAACCACTATTTTTACTGTTCAGGTCTCATCTCTTGCCTCCTCACACTGTCCCTCCCCCTCCTGCTACTCCCATCCCCACTTCCACACACATGTATGTTCTCTCTCTAATCATACTTGAGAAACTGCTGCAAAATTTTCAAGTGTCCAGATTGATGGCTCTGCCTCCTCTAAATCTTCTGCATCATGATCATCACCATCACCATCATCTTTAGAGGATTTCAGCAGATCTTCAAGTTCCTTGTTGGTAAGGGTTTCTCTATGCTCTTCTGTGTGGTCCTCAACATTGTCTTCAATCATGTCGGAGAAGCCTTCCCCACCAAACTTCCCCTGCAACATTCAAAATACTACTGAGTTCTGCATCAGTAGTGGAGAAGCCCCTGAAATCACTGATCACCTCACTCCAGAACTGCCTCCAGCGTGCATCGGCGGTCTCAGGACTTAAGGCATCTACAGCCTCTGCGGGAAGCAAAACTGCACCTGCAGTTGTGAAGCTCTTTCGTAAATCAATAATGCTGCTCAGTCAGGGTTAGCATCAGGGGCAGCACGAAACGTCCTGAAGGCAAGGTAGGTGTTAATTCACCTCAGTGTGCTGCTGCAGGAGACAGGAACATCATGTCCACATTCTCGCCAGTGAAGCAGAGAGTGTTGTCAGTTATGAGGAGGACCTTGAATGGCAGCCCCTTCTCTTCATCCCTTTACTTCAGGAATGAAACACTGATGGAACCTCTCCAAGAACAAAATGGCCATTGCCCAAGCCTTCTTGTATTGCTAGAACATAGGCAGGCAATTTTTGGTTTTGTTCTTGAGGGCCTGGGGATTGCTTGCTCAGTAGATGAGGCCTGGCTTGATCACGTGACCTGTTGCATTGCCAGACAGCACCAGCCTAAGATGATCTTTCCAGGCCCTGAACCCTGGGGCCTACTTTGCTGTCTTATGGATATAAGTACGATTGGACATCTTCCAGAACAAGCCCATTTCATCACAATTGAAGATTTGCTCTGGAAGGTAGCCTTTCTCTTCTATAAGTTTTTTGAGCTCTTCTGAGAACGCTGAAGCTCCCTTGGCATCAGCCAATGCTGATTCTCTCATGATCTCTAAGTTCTTGAGGCTGTAGCACTTTACATAGTTAGCCAGCCATCCCTTATGAGCCTTAAACTCCTTCATTCTCCTCAACCCCGTCACAGTAGTATTCACAGAGGCTAAGTGCTTTTTCACACATCATTTTGCCATGAACAGGGATATGCTTCTGTGACATGTCCTCCAGCCACATACTTGACGCCTTTGCGAGCAATTTGTCATGAATGAGAGACCACTTTTGCTGTTGTAGGGGCAGCACAAACACTTCCACAAATTTCAGCTTCTTTCTGCTTTATTTTGCAAATGCTCAATTTGTTCTTACCTTATGGCCCACCTTGGCAAGAAATATGCCGCTTTTCAAAAGATCTAAGATTTTAATTTTCTTGTTGAGAGATAGCACTTAACGCTCCCTCTTAGCCTTTGAGGGATTGTTTAGCTTTTTAAAAAATTATTATTATTATTTTTAACATCTTTATTGGAGTATAATTGCTTTACATAGCTTTTGAGGGATTGTTTTGACCACTTAATTGCTCTTTAGGAGCCATTTTTTCACAGTAACAAAGGGTGCACACAACGTAAGTGACAAACGAGACACAAGGTGAACAATACTCAAGCACAAGTGCTGGAGACTGAGGATCCATGAAATGGCGGGAGACTACAGCAGGGTATGCCAACACATCAGTTCATTCACACGGATTCAGTGTAGTGCTTGGCACACAGCAAATTCAAGTTTTGCTTTTTTGAACTTTCTGGAATTATTTTTCAAATGTTTTCAATCCGTGGTTGGTTGAATCCACAGACATAGGGGGCTGACTGTTATCAGTAGTGCTGCTGTGCATCTTCTTGTGTAAGTCTCCTGGTGCACATAGGTATAAGATGTGCACCTGAGAGCGATGTGCTGCTATCGTAGGGCGTGCATATATTCAGTGTTAGTAGATGTTGCCAAACAGTTTTCCAAGATGGCTGTACTGATTCACACTCCTACCACCTTTGTATGAGAAGCTCATTTGCTCCATTTCCTTTGCATTTAGAATTGTCAGTCTTTTTCATTTTAGCCATTGTGATGGGTGTGTATTTCATAATGGTTTTAATTGCATTTCTCTGGTGACTGATGTGGTTGGGCATCTTTTCATATGTTTATTGGTCCGTTGGATTACCTCTTCTGTAAAGAACCTGTTCACAGCTTCTGCCTATTTGTGTCAGACAGTTGTCTTTTTTAAATTGACTTACCGGGAGTGCTTTACATGTTCTAAGTACAAGTCCTTTGCTGGATATATGTATTGCAAATACAGTCTTCCACTCTGTGACTTACCTTTTCACTCTCAGTGGTACCTTTTGATGAACAGATGTTTCTCGGTTTTAATATGATCTAGTTTAGGAGGTTATTTCCATTATGATTGGTACTTTAAAAACAAATCTTTGTTTCTCCCATACAATCTTTTTAAATGGCATTTGTATAGTAGGATTTCCTATAAAGTATTAAGACTTTTATTAGATTTGCTTTCATGGTAGATTAGAGTAGAAGTAGGGATTTGCAAATAAAGCTATCAATAAGTTTTGTTTTGTTTTTAGGAAAAAAAGTCAAAGATGAATGGACAAACATTTGTGTTGTGAGAAGATATTCTGTATTATTTTAACAAAGAAAATTAGTTTATCAATCTTTTCTTCTGATTAAATATATTTCCTTTTCATTTCTACAAACTTGAAATAACTTAGAAAAAAGATTTTTCCACATATAAAGATAAATATTCTTATAGTTTCCTGGAGAGCCATTCAGCTTTGAAAATAATTAAAAGCATCAACACCAGAAAACATTTACATAATATTGTTCTAAATGTGGCTGATTATATTTGTGTCTAATAATTTTATTTATTTTATCATTTTTAGAACTTTTTGAAAATGAGCATGTACGTATTGGGCAAAAAGGTAAGCTTTTGATTATACTTATTTTAATTTCTGAAAATGAGATAGTCTCAAGTAAATGTATCGTATACCCTCAACTGAAATTTAATCTCTGAGAAGCTAAAGACCTAAAAAGGAATAAAATTTAACAGTGTAGATAAAACAATGGGAATCTTTATAAAGAGGGGAAATGCATCAATTTGGCTTTATCAATAAATGTCAGGTAAAGAAGTACACAGATGGTTCACTAAAAAGGAAATGATAAATGCAGGCACGCATTTCTCAAGGATATTAGCTTAATCCATTCAACAGTAGAATTTCATTTTAAAATCAAAGAGCCAGATTCTGTCTTTGATGTGCCCACACCCTTCTCATTAGTGTTAATAGGAATATGCTCCTGCATCAGGAGAGAATAATAGCTGTCACACTTCCCAGCGACTGTTCACCATGGTAGGGCTTAATAACTGAAGCAGCTGTTAGTGTTCTGGAGAACAAATTTTCCCCATCTTTTTAAGATTCTTTTCCTTATTTTTATAAATCCTGTTTTGTCTTTGAAATATGAAGTGCAGGTAAGTCTTGTGTCAGAATAAATCTTCTATGGCAATTATATTATCATGTTCTAAACTCCCTAGTTCAATTTTTCAGAATCCTATTTATTTAGAAGACTGCATTTGTAAGATTTGATATTTTCATTAAACACAATTGCAAGTTATCATGTGGTCCCTTTGTTTCATTCTCATTTAGTGTAAGATTTTTTTCCTTTTTCTTTTAAGAAGAAAATATAAGAAAACAAAACTGTTTGACAAATATCAGCAGTTGTCTAGTATTTCTTCTTTTGTTTTTATTTTTTGGTTTTGTTTGTTTGTTTTGGACGGGGGCTTAATTTCCAGACTTAATAGCTAGTATTTTCATTAACATAAAGATGAAAACAAAAGGATAATATATTAATTTTGTGAACTTGACTGCTTATGAATAATTTTTGGCCTTTTTAAAAGGTTATCAGATCTTTTTTGTTTTTACTTCTTTAAAAATCCCTCTCTTCTGTTGATTTTGGCAGATAGCTAAAATGTCATCGAATAGAATGGATATCTACATTCTTTAGAATTCTCAGTCATAATACTTCAAATAGCATACCACTTCCAAATACTAGAACATTCATGACTTAGTAGAATATGCATAAGAAATTTAGGGTTTCTGTAGCTATGACTTCATGTGATGATGAAATCCAGAAATTATTCTACATACGCATCACAAGTTTCACATCCATGGAGCTATAGTTAAAGCACAGTGAAATCAAGGTACCTACATTAAAAACTTTCACCTGGTGGGGTAGGAGGTGGAGGAGCTTACAGCTTGAAACTTACAGGGCTGTAAATAAGACCACATCAAAAATCTGAGAGTAAAAGAAGATTGTCAAGATATGATGCAATTATGTTAGACATAAAGATGAAATGTTAGCTTCCCAAAAGATTTTTAAAGATTTCAATGTTATTTCTTACATTATGAATTTTCTGATGAGATTTTAATATACTTTTGACAGTTCTATCAGAACAAGATAGTGCTGCTGCTCAACAGTATATCAGACAAGGAAGTCCCACAGCACTGAGAGCTGAATTATGGGCTCTCATTTTGAATATTTCCAGCCAACCTGAGGTAAGAAGAAAAAGGATGGGCCAGATTTGATATTTGTTTTTCAAAGTAGAAATATTTTTTTCTTAGTCTAATATTTACTCCCTTTTTAATTTTCAAATTCACTGTAGTTTAGAGTTCTAAGATAAGATTAACATATAATTTAATCACTGTGTGCTTAACATAGACGTTTTTGTTATTAATAATTAGTTGGATAGGGTGAACCTATACATACAACAGAACAATAAGTAAAATCTTAAGAAGTGGAGTCCACCAATTCAGATCAGTGAAGATGTGTGGTAGAACTGGGAGTTATAATAGAGAGAAATAAAGATGGACAGCTTGATATACGTAAATGACTACTTTGTCCCTACAGTTGCTTTCAAAATATGCATGATTTTTATGGGTTTAAAAATTGACAGATTATGTGGGAATGTTATTTTTCTAAGTATAAGAACATCTTATTTTAGGAAATAAAATGAATATGAAGAGAAATCAGCAAAAGACAGGTAATAGATTCAACAAAGAAACAAGTGTAAGACATTGATTCTTTTTGAAATATTTTGGAGAATTTTTTTTTTTTTTTTTTTTTTTTTTTGCTGAAGCCCACTGATCCTATAAGTCATCTATTTAAAGATTTTAATAAATAGCAAACTAATAGTTCCCTAACCTAGCAGTTAAAAACATGGGTTTTGTTTAGAATCATATGACCTAGTTTCAACTCCTAGCTCCCTCAACTTATTTGAAATAAGTCATTGAGTGAGTTAAATTTCTTCAAACTTCAACTTACCCATACTTAGATATAGGTAATAATTTTTATATCCCAGTGTGGTTGAAAGAATTAAATGAAATCTATGTGAGTCTTTTATTAACACAGTACTTGATATAACAGGTCACCATTGATGGTAGCAATAGTAATTACATATTACATGTAATTATGTTATAAATTAATTATAATTTATAATAATGCAGTTTTTAAGAAAATCAAACATTATTAACATATATTATAAAAACTACACCTGTAACCTTTGCAAATTATGTGTGCATGCTTGTGTGTGTGTGTGTGTGTGTGTGTGTGTGTGTGTATTTTAAATCTCCCGCTCTGAACAGCACTATCAAAAATCACTTGCTTCCTTTTTGAAAGAATAAACCTTGTGATTTATTTTAGAGCAGTTTTAAACCAAATGATACTACTGATGTTTTGAGGTGACACTTTAAAAGTAACAGTTTACAAAACAGTTTTGAGTGCACTGGGCATTTTTTGTGAGTGTATCAACTCTTGTAGAAGAGGTAGTAGTTCTTGTCCTGACCTGTGTAGATGACCTACCAACTTCACTGATCAGGAGCTAAGTTAGCAAGTCCTGTCTCTGCAGAGGAACTAACTACTACCATTTCAAAAATAGATTTAGAATTTTTCCAGAAGTATAGTTGTAGAATAAAAGTAGTAATCCCAGATAATGATTGTATAAAGTTCAAAGGCAGTTTTTACACTTGAATTCTGGAGTTAAGTTATCTTGATTTTCTATATTCAAAATGGCAAATCTGTAAATAGAAATTAATATTATCAGAAGGCAATCTTGATTTTATTGAATAAAACATTTTCTATCACTTACACTTATTTTCACTGTAAATGTGTGACCTGAACAAACTATAGCGGTTCCGAAATAATTGTTGTAGGTGGTACATTAGAGGGTGGAGGGGGAGAGAGCGAGAGGCAGAGAGAGGGAGAATACTTACTTCTTATGAAGAATACTTTATCAGACCTTTTTGTTCAGTTACTTTCCAATCACTTAAAATAAGCTACACATACAAATGCATCATAGTTGAGGAGTTAGATAAATGGAATATTTCAAATTTCACACTCATAAAGCTATTTTTAAAATCTTACCTCAATAGAAAGACTTGGGATTTAATGCTTTAAGTTCCTAGCAGTTAATTTATTTAGTACTTTTACTAGAACGTTATTTAACTTTGATTTTTTTCTCTTTTTAAGAAAATATGTGATAAGTTTTAAAGAATTGCTTTTATATATTTTCTTTTCTACAGCTCTCTAGATCTCTGGATCAAAATATCCATATTTAGTAAACATTCATATTTAAATCTTTTTGCTTAATTTCAGTTTGCTAATTAAAAGTAGAAAATTGTCTTATACTTTGCTCTAGGTTCTTGCTTACTGATAAGATAGCCAAGATGAGTATTAACATTTAAGATTTCCTTTAGTGATTTCACAATAAGGTTCTCCACAACCTGACCTAAAGGTCTGCAATAATGCCTGACCATCCTAGATCTTTCTGGTCAGCTCATCTTGTCTTCCCAGTGCCTGTTTCTGTCCTTCACTCTCCTCAGCCACTTTCAGAGTCTTAGCAAAAGATCTCACCTTCTCCTAACCAGAGAAAACAGAAGTCATCAGAAGGAACTCGTTCAAATTCCTTCCACCAAACCTGTAAACTTACTTGCATCAGCACCTGTTCTTGCCTCTACTTTTACATCTAAACCTTGTGCAAGAAAAGTCTATGCTAGATGCTCCTACTTCCTTAATCCCATTAATCACTCAGTCTACCATAGTCTGGCGTACACCCCACTACATGACTATAACTGTCCTAGCTAAAGTTACCAAGGAACAGTGGATACATTTTAGTCTTTACATCTACTGCATTTGATACTATTATCTATTCTGCCCTTGAAATATTCTTGGTCTTTAATTTAGTTCATCCTGTTTTCTTAGTTCTTCTTTCCCTCTTTTTCTTTTTTTTTTTTTTCTTTTTTTTTAAGTCTGCATTTGGGTTCGCCTGCTAGACCTCAAGTGCTTGTATTTCTCAGAATTCAATTTTGATCCTCTTTTCACCCTGCACATTTTCCCTGGACTGTCTCATCCACAGTCACCTTTTCCATAATGGCTTCAACTCTGTTTTCAACCAAACTTTGTCTTAAGCCTAAAACCTTTATTTCCAGTTTCCTGCAGAACTCTAATACATGGTCTGAAAGTGTATCAGACTCATGATATCTAAAAGAAAAGGTATAATCTTTACCTCAATTTATTTGTGGTCATCCAAGAGATGCTGAATTATCTCTCTTCCCACCTAAAAAAAAAAAAACCTTGTCAGACTTTTGTCTTCTTGGATATTCTACTTTTCTTTCACGTGCAGTTTATTCCATCACCTTTTCTGAGAAGCCTTCCTAATATCTCCTCTACCTTGTCTTCTCCCAACTCCATCACTGCTACTCTTAGATACTTACTTCATTTTTCTCCCACCATAACCAGTGCAGGAGCAAAGACCTAAAGACAGAGAAACATATACCATACTTCTTACTTTATTTGGCTGCCTCCCTTTCTAGATTGAGTAACTGAGGACAGGGATTTTTTTCTTCTTCATCATCTATAAAGTCAGTATCTTGTACAGCGTCTAGAAATGGTCAGCTCATCTAAATGCTTAATGAACAATTAAGTATAAACTGTTAGGAATGTTCTGTGAGTTCTTTGACTTCCTGAGAGTATATTTCCTTTTTTCTTTAGTTAAAGAGATAGTGTGTAAGTCTGCATAAAATATAAAATAGATACATACACTAAAATTTAAATATTCTCTGATGCTAAAAATTTGGGCTATTTTGCTTTTCAAAGATTGCTTTTTATAATCATAATTTATTACTGTTAAATATCTATTTTGCCAAAGCTTATACAAAATACTCTTGAAATATCCTATTACATTATTGGTAATTGTTATATTTTATAAATTCTTGTTTTATAATGTCTTTGGTATTAGGGTAATGTTGGCCTCATAAAATGAATTAAGAAGTATTCCTTCTGCTTCTGTCCTCTGAAGGAGATTGTAGAATACTGGCAGAATTTCTTCCTTAAATGTTTGGTAGAATTCACCAATGAGGCCCTCTGGGCCTGGTACTGTCTGTTTTAGACACTTATTAATTATTAAATCAATTACTTTAATAGATGTAGGCCTATTCCGATTGTCTGTTTCTTCTTGTGTGAGTTTCAGCAAATTCTGTCTTGTTCAAGTAATTGATCCATTTCATCTAGGTTATCAAATTTGTGGACAGAGAATTGTTCATAGTATATACCTTTATTATCCTTTTAATGTCCATAGGATCTGTAGTGATGTACCCTCCTTCATTTCTGATTTGGGTAATTTGTGTCCTTTCTCTTCTTTTTTTTAGTTAGCCTGGCTAAAGGCTCATTCGTTTTATTGATCTTTTCAAAGAACTAGCTTTTTGTTTCAATTTTTTTCTCTATTGATTTCCTGTTTTCAATTTCATTTATTTCTGCTCTAATTCTTATCATTTCTCTTCTTCTGCTTACTTTCAATTTAATTTGTTCTTCTTTTTCTAGTTTCCTAAGGTGGAAACTTAGATTATTGATTTTTAGATCTTTCTTGTTTTCTAATTTATGCATGCATTCAATTCTATAAATTTCCATCTAAGCACTGCTTTTACTGCATCCCACAAATTTTGATAAGTTACCTTTTCATTTAGTTCAAAATATTTTTAACTTTCTCTTGAGATTTCTTCTTTGACCCATGTGTTATTTAGAAGTATGTTGTTTAATCTCCCTGTATTTGGGGATTTTCCAGTTATCTTTTTGTTATTGATTTCTAGTTTAATTCCACTGTGGTCTGAGAGCAGACATTGTATGATTTCTATTCTTTTAAATTTGTTAAGGCTATGTTTTATGACCCAGAATGTGGTCTATCTTAGTGAATGTTCCATGTGAGTTTGAGAGGAATGTGTATTCTACTGTTATTGGATAAAGTAGTGTACAGGTGTCCATCATATCCAGTTGATTGATGGTGTTGTTGAGTTCAACTTCGACCTTACTGATTTTCTGCCTGCTGAATCTATTTCTGATAGAGAGGTGTTGGAGTTTTATTTCAATTGGAAATGCATGGTTTATTTAATAAAGGATGCTGATAACCATCCTTCTGAAAGAAAACTCAGACCTTTGGCTTACCATATATAAAAATAAATTCCAGGTAGGTTATAAACATTTAAATTAAAAATATCAATTTTAGGGGCTTCCCTGGTGGCGCAGTGGTTGGGAGTCCGCCTGCCGATGCAGGGGACACGGGTTCATGCCCCGGTCCGGGAGATCCCACATGCCGTGGAGCGGCTGGGCCCGTGAGCCATGGCCGCGGAGCCTGCGCGTCCGGAGCCTGTGCTCCACAGCGGGAGAGGCCACAACAGTGAGAGGCCCGCGTACCGCAAAAAAAAAAAAAAAAAAAAAAAAATCAATTTTAGAAAAAACTAGAAAAATATTTGTATAAACATGTGATGTAGGAGAGCCTTGCCTAAGGGAAGCAAGAAAATCCAAAGCCATAAAGAATTTTTTTTAAATTTGTCAATGAATACCATAAACAAAAATCAAACAACACATTAATTTGAAGAAAAAGTATTTGTAACACAAATGACAAAAGGTTAATCCTCATTATCAATAAAGAGCCTGACAAATTAATAAAATAAATGTAATCTAATAGAAAAATATGTAAGTCATTGAAGTGGAAATTCAAATGACCAGTAAGCACATGAAAGAATGTCAACTTTATTAGTATTTGGGAAAGTGCAAATTAATACAACAGGAAGATAACCATTTTTCATCCATGGAAAAGTTAAAATGGTGAGGATATAGGTAAACTTTGTGCTCTCATGGGTTGCTGGTGGGAATTTGAATTGATACTTTTTTGGAAAGTAGTTAGACAATTTGTAGTCCAACTAAAGAAATATGTGCGTGTGTGTGTGTGTATATATATATATATATATATGGCCTTCAGCCTACAATCCTACCTTTGCCAGTTTATCCCATAGATACAAAGGCATATGTGCATGAGGATATTTATTGCAGTATTTGTAGTGACAAACAACTAGAAACAACCTGAGTAGTCATCTATAGGCTAAAGGAATGGTTAAATAAATTGTGATACATCTGTAGCACAGCTTCAAAAATATTAAAGTGTATGTAGTTATTAAAAAGACATAGAGAGATGACCATGATATACACTAGAAACTGAAAAATAAGTATAGAATGATTCCATTTTATGTTAAAAAAAACAACTAAAACCCTTAAATATTATATATTTTTATAAGCATGGAGAAAAGTATGGAAGAATACAAATTACAAATAATGTTACAAATACAATACAAATAACATTAGTTTCTTCAGTGTGGTGGCAGGGAAGAAGAAAAGGTTATTAACTTTTTCTTTATCCAGCTTTAGATTGTTTCACTTATTTTAATGGTCATATATCAGTTTGTAATTTTAAACTTATTTTATTTTTAAAAAGAGACATAACTCTAAGCATCTTAGCTTTTCCACTGTGTTCCCTAGAAGACATTAAAGTATAATACTATGCCCTTTGCCCGTTGTCAAGGATTGGTGTTTGAATTAGGTGCTGTTCCTGCCTTTAAAAATGTTTTTTTATTCTAGCCAGAGAGATGGATTTAATAAATACAATAGAAGGTAAATAAAATAGTAAAATAATTTTGCTTTAGGTAAGAAATCAAAACAACATGAATGAGAACAAAGTAAGGCTTTTTAATTAAAATTAAAATGACTAAAAATAGCCAGTAAATCCCCAGATAATCTTTATGCAAAGAGCACTTTGCCTCAAATCAGAGAACTGTGTATTAAGCATCTTTCAAGACAAAGAAATCGTGTTTCAGGAAACAGGGTTGGACGCCACCCTGCCAAGGCAGCTGCATGCAACAGATATTCTTCTTTGTCCCAGACGAACCTGTCTCACAACTCTTATTTGAGGGAATGTCTTCAGAAAGAATCACGTAGGCTGGGATGTACTGATGGAGCCAAGCAGTATTTGGATATGGGTGGAAACCAGGGCTAAAATGCCCAAGACATGGATGGAGGGATTTGGAGGAACACAGGGATCAGCTGAAGTAGTGAGATGATATTTCCATCTCTCTTTAACACAACTACTACCCATTTAGTCTTAACCTTTTTTTTTTAACCTTTATTATTTATTATGAACACCCCGACCAACTATTAGCCTGATGCTTAACTGGATTACGTCTTATGTCCCTCCTCCCTCTCTGCCTTCCCCTGTCTTTTCTTCTTTTTCCTTTCCTCCCCTTTTCTCTTCTTCCTATCTTTCCTCTCTTCCTTCTTATTTCTTATTCTCTATTAAATTAAACATTAGCCAAATCTTATCACTGTTTAGAGTTAGATTTTCTAATATAATACCATATTCTTTTATTTTTTAAAAACTGATTTTTTTGCTATTACAATTTTTTAAAATTTTTATTTTATATTGGAGTATCATTGCTTATCAGTGTGTTAGTTTCAGGTGTACAGCAAAGTGATTCAGTTATACATATACATGTATCTATTCTTTTTCAAATTCTTTTCCCATTTTGGTTATTACAGAATATTGAGCAGAGTTCCCTGTGCTATAACTGATTTTTATTTACTTTTCTAAAAACCTGGACTCAGATGTAAAGAAAAGTACACTGCTGATTCTATTGATCAATGTCATTAAAAGTCCTAAACCCTTATTATTGTCCATTAGCCAGATGAGATGAGAGTGTTTCTCATTATCTCTTGGAAATTTATGTATCTTTTCAAGCTGTGCTTAAATCATGTACAGGTTAACTGCATAGGATTCTGTATAGTTATAATCATTATATTTTGAACTAAAAAATGAATAATAAAGGATTTTTAATCTAAAAAAAAAACCCTGATGTTTTTCATATGCTCTATGATTACTTTTACTACCAGGGCTGATTTAGTATGTTTAAACTTTTTTATTTTATAATAATTTAGATATTAGAAAGGCAGTATAGTGTAGTCATTCTGGGTTTTTATATAGGTTTCAGGGCTTTCCCGGGATCAAATCTTACTACCTTTGTGGCCTTGGACAGCAAGTTACTTCTTTCTCTGGGCCTTAATTTCTCAAATGTAAATGGGAATAATAATCATTGTTGAACAGTTTTATTTTGTTGGTATGGGATTAAATAGATTAACTCATGTGTAGTGGGATTAAATAGATTAACTCATGTGTAAAACAGTTCCTGACACCTAGTAATTACTTAATAAATACTGCATTTGCTACATTTTTCTTTTTTAAAAAAAAAAAATTTATTTATTTTGGGCTGCGTTGGGTCTTCGTTGCTGCATACGGGCTTTCTCTAGTTGCAGTGAGCGGGGGCTACTCTTCGTTGTGGTGCACGGTCCTCTCATTGCAGTGGCTTCTCTTGCGGAGCATAGGCTCTAGGCACTCGGGCTTCAGTAGTTGTGGCACGTGGGCTCAGTTGTTCCACGGCATGTGGGATCTTCCTGGACCAGGGCTCGAACCCATGTCCCCTGCATTGGCAGGCGATTCTTAACCACTGCACCACCAGGGAAGTCCTGCATTTGCTATTAAATTACAGTTAATCAATTTAGCAAACATTGATTAAATACCCACCAGGTAGCAGATTTTATCCTAAGGGATGGGATTAGGTATATTTATTGATCATCTACTATTGGCCAGGCATGGAGACTGTAGTAGTGAATAAAAAAAAGTCCTGGGAACTTCCCTGGTGGGGCAGTGGTTAGGAATTGGACTGCCAATGCAGAGGACACAGGCTCAAGCCCTGGTCCGGGAAGATCCCACATGCTGCGGAGCAACTGAGCCCACGCACCACAGCTACTGAGTCTGTGCTCTAGAGCCCGCGAGCCACAACTACTGAAGCCCATGCGCCTAGAGCCCATGCTCCACAACAAAAAAAGCCACCGCAACGAGAAACCTGTGAAGCCACCGCAATGAGAAGCCCATGCACCACAACGAAGAGTAGCCCCTGATGGCCGCAACTAGAGAAAGATGGCATGCAGCAACAAAGCCCCAATGCAGCCAAAAATAAACAAATTAAAAAAAAAAATCCTTATCCTCTTAGTGTTTATAATACTATTAATGATCATTATTTATTAAAGGCATTATTTATTTGAGGCTGACTTTAAAATGTGATTGACTTTTAATGTTTTTGTTTGTTTAACTTTTAAATCTAGGATATCTTGTATTATGAGCAGCTTAAGACTAATGTGATACAACATGACCTTTTGGTGGACAGTTTAATTTATAAAGTAAGTAAAAGTATACATAGTTTTTCCATTTCATTGATATCATTAAGCAATTATTGAGTCTTCAACATGTAGGGACTGCACTATGCATGATGATACATATTAAACTTGAAAAATAATTTTAAGTGATCATTATACTTACAAAGTTAAGTTTGACCTTCAAAATCTGCAGTTTCTATTCAATGTTATCCTCCTTCTCGTTGAAACTGTCCTTATAATCCTTTCCTGACCCTCCCATTTATTGATTAAGAGAATGATAAGCATTTCCTGTCCTTATAATTCAAGTTTTCCACACAAACTACATAAAAAGAAACTAAAAGGAAAATGAGATTATGGATTTTTTTTATCTTATTTGTCTCACAGTCTTTAGGGCCTGCTTATTTATTTTATTATTTTGAAGTCATGTTTTATTTTTAATTTCTTTTAGTTTCTAGACATATAGTTAAGCACGTCTCAAATTTTATGATAAGGATTCATTGAATTTTTGTTTCCAGGCATCTGATATTGAGACAAGATGCAGATGCTGAAAACGTGGTATAGGATATGACTGATTCTGGATTAATGATTGGGTTGTTTAAAAGACTTGGATTTTAGATTTAGAACTTGTAAGATAGAGGAGACGGGCATATTATTCCAGATCTCAGAAACAGGGGAGAGAAGAACCTAAAAATTTATCTGGGTAAAACATAACCAAAGTTAATTATAACAATGACTACTAGCATTTAATGATTGCTTACTATGTGCCATACATTGTTCCAAACTCTTTACATAGATTGTCATCTGATCCTGTTAGCTACCTTGGGTGGTAGATACCAGCATTTGGACTGTAAATGATAAATGCATTTTTTCCTGGAAAAAACTTGCATTCTGCAAAATCATGCTTAAAAATAAGAGATTATAGGAAAAATAGCACTTTTGTAACTAAAGTGCTAACAGAAACAATAATTGGGAGATGAATTGGACAACTCAGGCAGGCTGCTCCTGCAGGAGTTATTAAAAATGTACAAAAATAATAAAGTGTAAATGCTAAAGTAATGCAGATAGAAGTGGTGCACAGCACCACTGGGGCTGCTTTTCAGGTGGGCACAAGAGGAAGTGCAGAAGCTAAGAGATGTGCAAGGCTGGGGGTGTGCCTCTCTGGAGAGGGGGCCCCCGTGCAATCATTCATTTTCCATTCTCTTGAAATACAGTTATAAGGGCTCATGCCTGTGGAAGACTTTGTCCTTTCCTGCTGAAGGTTATAATTCTACTTCTGCTGTTCTGGCTTCCCTGTTTTAAAGAAAAATTGCATATGAACGAACACAATTTTCATGTTATACTGCCATCATTCCCTTACTCACCAGCCACATATTGATACATGTGTTGTAGCAAAACAGGAAGTACTATCATTTTACCATTTTACAGATGAGGGAACTGAGGTAAAGAAAGAGTAAAGAAATTTGTTTAAATTCATATATTAAATAGCAAAGCCAAGATTTGAATCTAGGTAATCTGACTTCACAACCGTACCTTTAACCACTGTGCTCTACAGAGAGAAAAGATGAGGAAATTTAAGAGGATGCAGTCTTTTGATGAAAAGTCTTGACTCTCACAGAAGTTTTTACGTAGATTTGGATCACAGGTACTACTATTAACTTTGAGGTCTAATGATTGTGCTCAGGGGATTATTTTAACAACAGCCTAAGAGATCTTTTGGGCTTTAAGACCTTCAATCTCCTTTCTGTTCAAATGAGAGAAGACTCAACAAGAGAAGTTGTTCAAAAAATCCAAGAGTGCTAACATGAGAGTTCTCTTTGCTGCCAACATGAATTTCAGTTAGAATCAGTAAAAAACAAATCTGTCATGAGAAAGTGGTAAACAGTTTGTGTCTGAAGAATTGAATATAAGTTCTGCTAGAATCAATCCTGACTGTCCACAACATGAGTGTTTTTAGGAAGATATCTGTCTCTGGTTGTTTCTGACTTGTATTAGTTGAGTTCTGCTGATCTTATTGGAACAACTCCAAACATTATTAAAGTCACCCCTTGACGAAATGAGCATTTTTAAATTATTTGAAGTTTCATTACAAGTCCCTTTGGCAAAGGCTCATTTTTAATTTAACTGAAAGTAAAGTAGAATTATTTTAGTGATTAAAGAAATTAATGAAACAAGGCAATGCTTATATACAGAACACCATCAAACCCTCCCTAAGCTAAAATATCTAATGGTTCTCTCTGGACTGTGTTTTTTTCCCACAAACTTGCCTTGAATCCACACCATCTACAGTTTTCCACCACTTGCTATGATGGACAGTTGACCTGTCAGTTTATATCAGTGTTTCTCAACCTTTTCTTCATTATTATCCCTAAAGAGAAAATTTTCTCTAATATAAAAAAAATTAAATACCAAAGAATAAGATTTTGGTGGGTAAGGATAAGCTTTGGAGGTCCACAAACCATTGTACTATGTAAAAGTTTTTGATCCCCAGGAACGAAGTCTCACCCCTTAGAGGCAATATCATCCTCGTTGAGATTGCATGGTCTCTGCCTCTGCCCACGTTGTGACTTAGACTGGCTCCTTTCTTTCCTCTTAGTCTGCGTCTTTCAGTTTTCCCAAGCGTAGCACACATTCACTACCTCCAGAGTCATCCACAGCTCATTTCATCCTCCTGTAATTGCTGCTTTGATCAATAGTCTGATTGAATTTTGTAGGTTGAGCAATATTATCATAGATTCCTGCAATATTTCTTTGTAACTGTTCCGATATTTCTACTATGTATGTTTTCTTGCTGGTGAGATTGAAGATAAACATTGTCTAGTTTGTTTGTTTGTTTGTTAGCAAGCAATGACTTGCAAGTGAAAAATCACAAAAACATGAAAGATTTTTGGTATTTTGAGGGAATGGCAAGAATGTGGGTCTGAATAGTGGAAGATGAGATTGGAACAGTAATTTGAGGCCAGATTGCTATGGTTGCTTTTGGATGTTGTGATTGCATCTCCTTTTCTAATTTTAAGACACCTAAATATTAGATTTAAAGGAGATAAAATTGAAATAAATAATAAAGAATTACTAATGGAACCAAAAAGACTGTGAACAATTTGTAGTCAAATAATGTGTCACTTATATTAGTCAAGTAAATTTATAAGTTTACCTGTGATAATTCTAGTGATAAAATCTAATTGAGAAGTTTATAATCATACATAAAAATAAAATCATTGCAGTATTATTTCTAGATGTTGCCTTTATGTCTTAGTACTATAGACATATTCATTTAGGTTCTCTTCAGTGCTCTCTACTTTTAATTATAGGATGTGAAATTGACAGCAAGCAATGATGATTATTATTTTGTATTTGAAGATTACTTATATCAGGTAAGTTGAAAAATTAAAATATGTAATGTTCTTGTTTTAAGTTCTCTAACTCAGGATACTTTAGAAGATATCTCTTTTGTTAACTGAATCTTCCTGAAATCCACTATGTTTATTTTTTATCTAATTAAATGTTCTAAGTTTGGGATAAGGTTAATTTTTGTTCTTACATGGGACTAGGTAGGAGAATAAGAGCTACATATCTGCTCCAACCAGGAGAGGTATATGCACAGATTTTTTTTTTTATACATGTATCAACTCTTTTTTACATTCTATTCCCATATAGGTCATTTCAGAGTATGAGTAGAGTTCTCTGTGCTGTACAGTAGGCTCTTATTAGTTATCTGTATATATATATAGTAGTGTATATATGTCAATCCCAATCTCCTAATTTATCCCTCCCCCCCCGTAACCATAAGTTTGTTTTCTACATCTGTGACTCTATTTCTGTTTTGTAAATAGGCTCATTTGTACCTTTTTTTTTTAGATTCCACATATAAGCAATATCATATGATATTTGTCTTTGTCTGACTGACTTCACTCAGTATGACAACCTCTAGGTCCATCCGTGTTGCTGCAAATGGCATTATTTCATTCTTTTTTTATGGCTGAGTAATATTCCATTGTATATATGTACCACATCTTCTTTATCCTTTCTTCCGTCAATGGACATTTAGGTTGCTTCCAAGTCCTGGCTGTTGTAAATAGTGCTGCAATGAACATTGGGGTATGTGTATCTTTTCGAATTATGGTTTTCTCCAGATATATGCCCAGGAGTGGGATTGCTGGATCATATGGTAACCCTATTTTTAGTTTCTTAAGGAACCTCCATACTGTTCTCCATAGTGGCTGTACCAATTTACATTCCCACCACAGTGTAGGAGGGTCCCCTTTTCTCTACACCCTCTCCAGCATTTATTGTTTGTAGAGTTTTTGATTAGGCACGGATTCTTAAATTGAATGTCCAGTTCAGATTTCAGTCATCCCAAGACGTTCAGAGAAAGCATTTTACATGATAGTTTTCTATTAAAGGCCTTGAATAAATAAATAAATGTTTTGAAATCAGTTTGAAGCATTGTGATTCCTCTTTGATCATTTTATGTGCTGATATTGTGGGTGTTTGGATTTACCTAGGTCTTTTTCATATCTACTAAAATAAAAACATCTTACCACAAATAGGAAATATGAAATTTATGTAGAATTGCTTAAATAATACTTTTTTTAAAGATCACACACACATAGATAGATAGATAGATAGAAGATTAATAATTTGATTTTGAGTGAATGTCAACATGTGTCATGGAGAAAATATCTAGATTCCACATGACAATTTCTGCTTCATTAAATGTAAATCAGTCCCAGCTGTCTGGATTAGCAGGTTTCTAATTGGTAATAGTGGTGGTAGTTGTGCGTCTGTTTAAGAAAAGAGTTAAATAAGATTCTCTCAAGAAGGTTTAATTAATCATATATTCCAAGAACTAAATTCCAACAATTTTATAAAATTTATTTATAAAGCTAAAATTTGAAATAATTTTAAGGAAGTTTCAGTGATTTTAAATGTGCCATTAATTTTTTTAATTTTAAAAAACAGTAAAGATTTAAAATCCCATTCTTCAACATAATCTAAAAGTTTATTTTTAGATCTAAAAATCTAAAAGTTTATTTACTTATCTAGCTAATATGTAGCCTGGTACCTAATTCTTAGTACTCAGTAAAATTTTGAATGTACAGTAAAGTTAATGCTTCATTTATATATTAATGTTTGTTTCCATACTTAAGAAATATTGAGTGGAAATGATTAGTTTTGGTATTGTATCATAAGGAGGTCCACAGAACCATCCCTAGCAGAAAAATCAAAATCAGTGAAAATTATTTAAAAAACAAAAATATTTAAAGTATCTGGGGCTTCCCTGGTGGCACAGTGGTTGAGAGTCCGCCTGACGATGCAGCGGACATGGGTTCATGCCCTGGTCCGGGAAGATCCCACATGCCACGGAGCGGCTAGGCCCGTGAGCCATGGCTGCTGAGCCTGCGCGTCCGGAGCCTGTGCTCCGCAACAGGAGAGGCCACAACAGTGAGAGGCCCGTGTACCGCAAAAGAAAAAAAAAAAAAAAATCTGGAATCTGTGTTAAGGTCATACATGAAGACAGCAACAACAACAACAAAAAAAACCAAAAAACATTTATTCAAGAAAAGCTACTAAATCTCAGAACAGTCTGTAGCACTTGAGTCGTGATGCACTCTCTCCCTTCCCTCACCCCCAGATCATCATGATGGAAGCTTCAATTCAGCTGAGTGTGGCCAGGAAGATGGGGTTCCGTTTCCCTATAACTTCTAGTCAAGGTCTGCAGTATCTCTATATGAGGGTCAGGTAACCAGTATTTCTCACACTCCTCAGCTCTGTGTTGCAGATGCTAAATTCCAGAAGAATGCAGCCAAGAAGTCAGGGACTCCCTGCCTTCAACTCATAGGGCAGACCTCTGTGGAGAGCAGGTTTGAGTAACCTCCATATTTATTTTCTGTAGTGGCTGTACCAACTTGCATTCCCGCCAACAGTGCACTAGGGTTCACTTTTCTCTGTACCCTCCCCAATACTTGTCTTTCTTTGTCTTGTCTTTTTGATGATAGCCATTTTAACAGCTCTGAGGTGATAACATATTGTGGTTTTGACTTGCATTTCCCTGATGATTATTGATGTTGACTACCTTTTCATGTACCTGTTGGCCATTTGTATGTCTTCTTTGGAAAACTTCTATTCAGTTCCTCTGCCCATTTTTTAATTGGGTTTTTTTTGTTTTTTTGCTATTGAGTTGTAAGAATTCTTAATATATTTTGGATATTAACCCCTTATCAGATATATGATTTGGAAATATTTTCTCCCATCCTCCCATCCTTTTCATTTTGTTGTTTATTTCTTTTGCTTTACAGAAGCTTTTTAGTTTGATGTAGTCCCACTTATTTATTTGGCTTTTGTTGCTTGTGGTTTTACTGTCATATCCAGAAAATCTCTGTGAAGTCAAGGAGCTTTTTTTCTGTGTTTTTTTCTAGGAGTTTTATGGTACAGGTCTTACATTTAAGTCTTAAATCCATTTCACGTTCATTTTTGTGAGTGGGGTAAGATACGAGTCTAATTTCATTCTTCTGCATGTGGTTATCCAGTTTTCCCAACCCTATTTATTATTGAAGATACTATCCTTTCTCCATTGAGTATTCGTGGCTCCCTTGTCAAATATTACTTGACTATTTATGTGTGGTTTATTTCTGGGCTCTCAATTCTGTTCCGTTGGCTTGTGTGTCTATTTTTATGCCAGTGCTATACTATTTTGATTACTATAGCTTTGTAGCATAGCTTGAAATCAGGAAGTATGATGCTTTGTTATTCTTTCTGGAGATTGTTTTGGCTACTCAGGTTCTCTTGTGGCTCTATACAAATTTTAGGATTGTTTTTCTATTTCTGTGAAAAAAATGCCATTGGAATTTAAATAGGGATTGCATTGAATCTATAGATGGCTTTGGGTAGTATGGACATTTTAACAATGCTAATTCTTCGGATCCATGAACATGGGATATTGTTCCATTTGTGTCTTCTTCAGTTTCTTTCATCAAAGTCTTGTACTTTTCAGTGTACAGATCTTTCACCTCCTTGGTTAAACTTATTCCTTAGTATTTTATTGGTTTTGATACTATAGTGAATGGAATTATTTATTTCTTTTTCAGATGTTTTGCTGTTAGTGTATAGAAACACAGCTATTTTCTGTATGTTGATTTTGTATCCTGCAACTTTACTGAATTCATTGTTTAGTTCTAGCAGATTTTTGGTGGAATCCTTAGGATTTTCTACATATAAGATCATATCATTTGCAAATAAAGATAATTTTATTTCTCTCTTTCCTGTTTGGATGCCTTCTTTTCTTTGTCTTGCCTGATTGCTCAGAGTGGTCTTGTAAAAACACCAATCAATTCATGTTACTTGTGAGACTAAAACCAAAAAGACCAAAATCCTTCATGAAGCCTACATGACTCTGCGTGCACTGGTCCACCTCTTCAGCCTCACTGTTCACCTCTGCCCTGACACTCTGGCACAGTGTATTCCAACCACTCTGATCTTTTAGTCCTCAAGTTCACTATACTTCTTTCTACCTCAGGGCCATGAGACCTGCAATTCCTTTGATGTAAAAGACTGTTACCCTCCCCTCTTCCTCTAATAAATTCCTATTTTTCCTTCAGCTCTCAGCTAAAATATCACTTACTCACAAATACCTTCCCTGACCGAATCCCTGCTTCCCAACACAAACACACAAAGTCATGGCCATCTAAAGTATGCTTTTAAAGTCCTATGTAGTATTTTTCATACTTTTTATTTATAGTACTTTTTATAGCTTATTTGATTATTTTATAATTTCTCCCCCATGAATGTTTAGTATTATTACAGTAAACATGAATACATAAATTATAATATCAACCAAAGGCCAATAATCATATGATTTATAGTGTGTTGACTATTCTACTTCAGTGTGTGGGTAGAAAAAGTGTAAATTTGACGATTTCATCCCCTTTGGTGACTGGAAAGAAGAGGATTGTCAATTTTAAGTTACAACTACAAAGGCTTTTTGGTGGTAGTAAAAGAGATTTGCCAGGCAACATATCTGCCTCATTTGATGAACAGGGTCAGTAAGGCTATCATTTTAAATGAGAGTAGTAACAATTTCTCCAAATAGTGCCAGAATTAGCCCTTGAGGATATACTCATCTTTGTGTACCCCATAAACTTGGAAAACTTATAAGTGACTAAGTCTGAAAAACAGAACCATTTATAAACAATGGATGCATTCTCTGAGAAAAAGCAGATTGATCATCAGTAAATATTTATTGATTCTTATATGTAAATGATACCACCTTTGATGGGCTTATTACATTCTAGCTAGGGAGGCAAAAATGTTTTGAAATTGTTTTAAAGTGTTTATGTACAGCATTGGATATTAAGTTAATTAATATCACAGATAG